TGTCGGGTGGAAAGCTTTTATAGCAGTTGTAACTTGTAAAATCCACCTATTTCCAACCTTTTGATTGATGTTGAGTATCCTCCTAGCTCGATCGACTCAAATACTCTACCGTTTGGAGATAGACTCCCTCAGGATCGACCCGGAATGGCGAATCGGTGGATCGGTAGGTGCTCTATTCAACCTAGGGTTTCATATATGTCTAGGAAGTAGATCAAATTAACTCCCTCAAGGATTACCTGGAAAATATACGATAAGTGTGACCCGAAGATGCCAATAGTGAGCTCTAAGGGGATTTTCTCCCTCCTAGGTCAAAAGCTCAATACCTGAAAATGGAAACCCAACTCATGCCATACATGAAAACATCCATCAATCAAACATGGAATTTGTCATATACATCAATATAAAACCTAGACCCAGGGTTCTTAAACCCAAGAGAAGAGGGTGAGTTTCTACAAAGAGAAGAGAGAAATTACAAGTTGGAGCACAAGATCTTCTTCTTCTAGGCTTGATTCCTTGCTTCCATTCTTGATCAATACATTCAATTAAACTCGAAGATCACTCAAGAACTGTCTCTCTCTCACTAGAAATCCCCTTCGGTGTTTTGCGTTGAAACCCTAGAGAGAAGCAATTTCTCCTCGAAAAACCAGTTATGCCTTCTCTCTCCCCACACCTGTCTTTTATATAGCCTGAAAGTGTCGACATCACGGTCACTGTTCGCGACCGTGAGATCGGAGGCTAGACCGTGATCTTGGCTGAAAATGCAAGTGTTGCTATCGTTTTGTTTGACTTCACGGTCTAGGGCTGGTTTTCAAGGTCCTGCGACCTTGAAAACCTTGAGGTCTAGAGAGCAGAGCCAAACATTCTGGAACCTCCCCGCTTCACGATCATGGGGCAATTGTCACGGTCCCACTTTGGACTTTTCTTCGCTTTTCTGAGGTTTTCGACCTCCAATCATCCCGTAACTCATTCTCAACCTTCCCACACGTGCTAGGACCTGAAATGTAACAAAACAAGCACAACCTAGCATAAAATAGGTCAAGTGACGGTGATCTACTAAGCAAAGCGAACAAGAAATGAGCTGTAAAATATGTATAATTGGACCTAAATCAACATATCGGGATCATCTTTAATATCAACTCCACCTTTCTCACCCACATTCCAAATGTCAAACCCCATCCCTTTAAAGAAAACAATCAAACAATCATACTTGTTTTCCAAAGCTATAGTTGTATCAATCAAACCATGGTGGCCTATAATGTGAGAGACCCTCCATATGAGTAGAGTTGGAATCATGATTCATAGATGACCCACTAGCCATGCTTGGTATATTCGGATCATCGTTTCCTCGAGGATCTTTCGATCTTTTTGAGGGTACCAGGCTCAAATAACAATTGTTAGACCAAGCAGAGTCAATAATGAATACTTTTGACGTAGTTGATATGCAGATTAATTCATATTTCAACAGTGACAAATTGTCACTAGATTGAGTGAGCTACCTAATAAGGTTTGCCAAAGATTTATCTTGAAATGATTAATTTGCAATGACGAAGTTGTTCAAACTATGATAGAAGCTTTCACTTCTTTGCCATAATGGATGGAAAAATATTGAAAGGAGAGTAGAAGTAGGGAGATGAGTTGAGTTGAGACACACGATTTCAATGTGGTTCGCTCAATATGGCTTTACATCCACGCCTCGGAGATAGTCACCACTATCTTCCAAGAGACTCTAACTTTTATTGAAATAAAAGACTCTAATCTAAGAAATAATGAAAACCTTGACACCACGTGTCAAGAAGCAAATAGGTGCAACTCCACACCTATTTAACCCTTAGCTAATCCCAAGCTAAGCCACCCACTCACTCAACCAAGCCAACACTCCTAGTTTAGCTTGATTGAAGAGTAATCCTCCTAGTGCAACTTCCAAGTAAGAATCCAAACTTGTTTTTTCACTAGCCCCAGTGACAAATACCATTTCTACCCTAAAACCCGACCTAGCTTGACTATCTCAACTTCCGAGATATCAAGCTATTCACAACATGAAATATGATCTCACTATTTTGTTATTACAAGGGAGAAGAGAGTTTTGAAAAAGGTACTCTAGCCTACAAAGGACTCTGCTATTTATAGTGGTGGTGTAGCTCCATTTCATTTCTTTTGTAATACTTCTAATGGCAAGTGGCTTCTTGAATTGGTAAACTCCTTGTTGGTATGATAACTTCTTTGGGGGAAAGCAATCAGTTTGAATATTTTCCTTTTTTCTGAACAGATTCTATCACCTTTACAATGATTTACATCTTTTGATTTTTTTCTGCATAAATTGTTAATCCAACATGGAAATACAATATCATATATTAAAAGCATGTTGTCCTAAAATATTAGATTTGCTAAGTCAAACTTTTTGACCAAACAATTACTTTTCTGCAATCGCAAGTTGTAATTCACAAACACCAAGTCACTAAGCATTTTGTACTGCAATCTGTTTCTTCTTTTGGTGTGCACACGTTCAAAAACACTCCAATTATATTCACAACTAGAAGAAGCAGTTTGGCTAAGGATTCTAATAGCCAACTTCTCAAGATTCGAGTACCAATGCCAAACCATTTCCTCCACTTCTCTACATATTAAACATAAATGTTAGTTTCTACAAGTTTGAATATATAGCAACAATGTAAGCGGAATGGAAATTTGTGTTCTTGTAGGATAAAAAAAGGGAAGGAAAATAATTGAGAGGAAATTGCAATCTCAATGTATTTTCGGTTTTTTTCCTCTTTGCTAGGATAGAAATAATGTAAGGGAAAGGATAGTGTGTAATCGAACCCCCAAATTGGAGGGAGTACACATGAATTCCACTTTTGCTTTTTTAATCAACATCTAACTCTAACAATGACAAGTATATAACTGTCAGACTTGTAGTGTAGTGGCTCGATCGTATTCGCTAAGGGCTGCTGATATTCTACCCTACTCTAATTAAGTCTTATAGCTATTTAATTGACAATTGGTTGTTATTTGCACGGTTATAAAAAAACAAACCGATCGGTCAGATTGGGGAAAAGTGGACCCGACCATAATTCGGGTTTGTAATTAGGTGACCCGGTTAACCGTCATAACCGACCAAACCAAACCGCCTAGTTTGTGCCTTCAAGTTTTTAAGGACCTGTCATATAAGAAAAACTAAAAAAGGAAAATAAAAATAAATTAAAAGGAAAGTTGTTTTTAGTTTTTAAGAACCTGTCATATAAGTAAAACTAAGAAAGGAAAAATAAAAATAAAAAAGGAAGGTGTTTTTTAATATCCTACCATAAAAGAAAATATAAAAAATAAAAATAAAGGAAAATGAAAAGGAAAAAGGAATTTATTCCTGACGTTACTTTTTTTATTTTGTTTCTTTGTTCCTTCTTCTATTGTTAATTTTTTTAATATTGAATTCTTACATATCAATTATAAATTTCTCAACTTCTAAACTAATACTAAATTTCATGTGAGCAAAAAACCATAACTATTTTATTTAAAAAATTATATCAACGGTTTTAATCGATTTTGTATAAGTTTATCACTGGTTGTTCGATAAACATTCAATTTCTTGCTAATTCAGGTTACTGTCCGGTTCGATTTTGACAATAGTGGTTTCAGTACTAAGTAATTGTTAATGATAGAAACAAAAATAGAGAAGACGATACTTCGGGTAAGCTACCCTCACCCTAACGACATGAAAATATGCAATTGATGACAGGTAAAGTATCTAAGGTACTTGGGGTGCGGAGATCACTAAACTAGGGATTAGTGCAATGGTCGTGTCTCCTGACCCCCTTCTAACCACATCCATCGATCAAATATCACCACAACCGACTCCCATGACTATGGATAACATGTTATCTCCTCTAAACTAGTTTCACCCATCCTGTCCATACACAAGTTCTTTGAGACGATGGTTACACACTCGAGCCCCGAGCATTACCTAGGTGAGCTTTTATTTAGCATGGGATGGTTACCACGTCCACCAATTAGGACTCAATATCAACTACCTAAAGCTAGAGGCAATCTCGCATACAATCAAGAACTAACCGAATTTGACCTAGGCTGTAGATCATGTTATACTTGTAGCAAAAATTTAAAATTGTGGCTCACTTTTTCTATGTAAGGGTTTTGGAATATTTTTGAAAGAAAGATTTGGTGAAATTTTGGTAGAATGGAATGGTAATAATTTTTAAGAAAACAAATAAATTTATTATTTAGATAAAATAATATATTTTACATTATTCGTGAAAAATTTACCGTGATAACATCTTAGTCAAGGGAACTGGAAATTAAAAAAACGGATTCATTAGTTCATGTGACTGAAGTTATATAATTAGTTACGGGAATAGTTCCCGTGACTCTTGATACACTTCTTAAAATCGGACAAATTCCCGTGAAAGAAATCGTGTGCGAATAAGCTCGTATTTTTGTCGTGGTTAGAAGAATTTTTCTATCTCCACCATGTTCCATCAACATCGTCTCATCAGTTGCCCTCGGATTTGAGTTTGTGTCTTATCCATCCTGGAATTGAATTTGTTTCTCCTGTAGTGATGGCTCGTTCTGAAGCCCGCGAGGAAAAAGAAGATAGGCAATATGTTGGAAAAGAAAATAAGAGGACGGCGTGTAGGTGAAATAAATAGAACGACGGGAATAGAATGATCGATCGTCATATCGATGTTTTGGTCTTACTCTTCAAATCCTAAATCATATAGTGAGATTTCCGAATTCGTTGCCCCATACCAACATTTTTCCATCCAAAACAATGGATTTTAACCCTAATATTGACCGAAAGACACCTTAATTTTGGCTAACTTATATTAACCCTTAATATATATACGACAAGATGTTTTCTAGTTTCCTGTTTTTTCTCCAGTATTGCGGCGGCGGAGAAGAGACAGTCTCAGGGGCGGAACCGAGTACCAATCAATCCAAAAACATGTGAATCTGCCCTGTACTTGACTCTGTTTCTCGCCGGATCATAAACCATGGACAGTGACGAACGCTCTGGCGGCGAGTTAAGAAAATCTGTAAAAATTCGTCGTCGCGGCGATGAAGAAGAAACACCGACTGACAGGTTAACCCATCTCCCCGGACCCATTATTTATCACATCCTTTCGCTGCTGGAGACCAACTTCGCGGTCCAAACCTCAGTGTTGTCTCGGGATTGGAACCGCGCGTGGAAACATGTCCCTGTCCTCAACCTGCAGAGGAATTCCTTTGAAACTGCTGCCAAATTCAATAGCTTTGTGTCTAAGGTTCTGTCCCTTCGATACAACCTCAAACTCGACAAGGTTGTCTACGTCGGCGGCGATGCAAACCTCCCAAATCCGGGAAAAGGTAACAAGTCTGTTAGTGTCATCAACTATGCACTGTCCCATGGCGCCCAACACTTGGTCGTCCACAGGCAATCCTGCAAAACCGTGTTCCGAGATTTCAGCTCAGTGTTCTCCGAGTACTGCAATGGCGACAATAATAATAATAATAATAATAAGCACAATAACAATCTGAAAACTCTGGACTTGAAATTGGTCACCCTCGATGCTGGATTTGGAGCCTGCTCTGGTTTCCCAATGCTGACGACGCTGAATCTGACGGATTGCGATTTGGGTAACGAGGGTGTCCTTACTCTTGTCAACTTCCCTTGCCTGGAAAATTTGGTCGTGGCACAGTGTTTCCCGAGTGATGGCCCCGGAAGGAGGATGAAAATATACGGACCCCATTTGCTTACCCTGGAAGTGAAGCACACAGGGTTATGCGATTTTGACATATTCGCGCCGAAACTCGAATTCTTGGGTCTTAGACAGAACGTGTCGTCCAATGGGTTCATCGATACAGCTCTTCCTACTCTAGATCGTGCATATATCGAGTTGACGACGTCTGATGTTTCGACTATGGGCAAGCGACGTGTTGGTCACTATTTGAACTCCTTGTTCCAAGTCCTGCAGAGTGCAAAAACTTTGAGGATAAATTGGTCTACCCTTGAGGTACGCTAGCTTGGACTTTATCATCATGTATGCAAATGTAGTGTAACCATCATGTTTTTTGGGGGTTTTACGCGTCTCTGTACATGTTTCCTTGTAGATACTGAACAATATGTGGAAGATTCTCAAGCAACAATCATCTCCCTTGAAGAGGTTGGAGTCCTTGATTTTGCCATCCGAAGATGTACACTATTGCGTCTTTGACTACTTTTGGAAAGCGTCTTCTTGTGAGAAACCAAATGTTTCGGTTATAGTCGGTCGCCGATAACTTTTCCGAGAAAATTATAAGGTAAGAAGATATTCTTGCACGAAAATGTTTAATGATTTGAGATTGTTCCTTTAATTACAAGCGTGATATTGTTATAGCTGCGGAAATGTGCTTTATCTCTAAAGAAAAATTATTATTGATAGTCCAAGACCATACGTATTGATAAATCGAACCATTATTTATGTGCCGAATAGAGGGATCGATTGAAAAAATCAGAACTATACTTAAAAAGAAAACGCTTGTAAAATGCATGATTCCTTGTTTGTTAACTCTAGTTTAGTAATGTGTGGGTTGGGCCGACTACATGCATTCTTATCAAACGTTTACGTATATAGTGATTGGGGTCCAATTCCTTCATAGTTTTTAATTTTTATAGTCATATTCTATCAAATTCTAGGGATTTCATTCAGTCAAACCATTCTTCAAAGCAGTCATCTTCCAAATTCACACTTGGAGGAATGCTGCTTAGCTTCTGGTCTGCTTGAGGACTTCTATCCTCCCTTCAAGCTTGCCTCTCCGAATAAGTTGTTTCTGGCTCATTGCATGCATCTTGGTTAAATTATCTAGATCCCAATTGCATAGCCTGGAATTAGCATTTATTTTAGCTAACCATTTTGCCGATTGTTTCTGATAATTTTGGTACAACAAGCTTATTTTTGACTGCCATTTCGATGGCACTTTCTCTTTCAGTCCCATAAGAACAGTGTCATCTTCCTTGAGGCGGAAATATTGTTTTGATGGCGGCAGGATACCTTGACTTTGGTGTGTCGTTCTTGGTTATGCTTTTCTCCTTGATTTCAAGTTATGAACTTACAGTGCCTATGCGAATGAACTTATGGTACTCAGCTGAATATGTAGGCAGCTCTCTGTTTTGACCAAATGAGATGCTAGAAACAGAAGTATTTCGAAGCAGCATCGTGCGTTGTTCTGCTATTTGAGTTGGGATTTTTTTGAAAATGAAACTTACTCTGACAATGGCGGATTTGTCTGATTTGATATCCGAATCGCTAGTATAAGAAATGTGTAAAGAACTATTGTTACTGTATAACAACTGATGTTACATGTGCAGGTTGCTGATACAAACTATATCTTTGCACTATACCGTTATGGCATCTTGTGAAGTTGTTGTATGTTCTCTGTTGGTACTGGGGAATGATCACTGGGAGTTTCTGGATCATCTGCGGCTCTCGTTCGGGCCAGCCGACATCGCTGTATGGGGCAAAGTTCTGTCAGCTACTGTCCTCTTCTGAAGTGAGCTCTGTTTGTTGTTGTCTTGTTGAAGAATCAAATGGGGATCATTAACTAATATCTGTCATTAAGTGAGCTATGTTTGTTGTTGTCCTGTATTGTTGTTGAAAGATTGTTCATGAATCATGATTCGACTCCTATTGCATCATTGATCTTTTGCAGTTTGAACAGCGAACCCTGAAATTTGTTAAGGGAAATTTGGATTTTATTGTTGAATGTGGGATTGTATCTCTGACTTTTTTTTCCTGTTATACATAGCTTTTGGTTGAAGGACCAATTGCCTAGCTTTGGACTTTCGTTGAATGCTTGTGAAGCTAGCTTACTGGACTCCTTGAGACCATCTCCAATAAGGAGATTCAAAGTTCCAAAAATTAAGGTTAGATTTGGAATTCTAGCCTTACTAAAATGAGTTTTGCTTCAATAAGGAGTGTTATTGGAGTGGTTTGAATGCAGGTTTTTAATATGTGGAATTTGAGAGAGATTTGAGCTCAAATCCCTCAATTAAAAGACCCAGAGATTTATCATGTGGGATTTGGACAAAATACTTTTTTTGGGAAATGATCAATGTTTTCATTTAGAATAGTCAAATAACTATTTTGCCCTTGTCTCCTTCATCCCATCGCCTTGTTTCTTTCTCCTAATCCCAATGGCATCCGAATCTCAATTCCTAGGCGCAGTTCTTCCTCCTCCCAAACCCAACACATCTCAATCACAATTCTCATCTCCTCATTCCTTCCTCCCAAACCCAACGACATCCCAATCCCGATTTCCATCCCATTTATTCATCTCAAGCCCAACGAAATCTCAAACCAAGAACAAGAAAACAAAACCCCGAATTGGGGTTTCGGTGGTGGAGTTGAGTAACTTAAGTCGGAAGGGGAAGCTTGCTTATGATCTCGACCTTGGCTCGGTCCACCTCAATGCCTTTGTTCGAAATTTTATGCCCCAATACAATGCCCTCTCGCACCATAAAATGTGACTTCTTCCAACGCAAAGCCAAATTGGTCTCTTCACAGCGTGCAAGAACCTTCTCCAAACTAGCCAAGCAGTGTGCAAATGAATCCCCAAATATCGAGAAGTTGTCCATGAAACCCTCCATTATCTCCCCCACAAGCTTTCCAAGATAGCCATCATGCATCTCTGAAATGTAGTCAGGGCATTACACAACCCAAATGGAATGAGTCTATAAGTGAATGCCCCGAACGGGCAAGTGAATGTCGTCTTTGCTTGATCTTTCGAGGCAATTAGTATCTGGAAGTATCCTGGCATACCATCTAGAAAGTAGTAGTAGTCGTGACCCGCGAGCCACTCTAGAATTTGATCAATGAAAGGCAAAGGGAAATGATATTTACGAGTGGCAGCGTTCAATCGACGATAGTCAATGCACACCCTCAATCCAGTCACCGTCCTTGTAGGTATGGGTTCCTCCTTCTCATTTACCACCACTGTCATCCCTCCTCCTTGTGAACCAACTGAGTCGGGCTTACCCACTGACTGTCGGAAATGGGGTAGTTGATCCCAACGTCTAAGAGCTTAATCACCTCGGCCTTCACCACTTCCTCCAGGTTAGGATTCACACACCGTTGAGGTTGGCGGACCGGCTTTGCGCCCTCCTCCATGAGGATCTTGTGCGAAAAAAATCAGGGCCCGATCCCTCGGATATCGGGGATCTTCCATGCAATGGCTCTCTCATGACGACACAAGACCTCAATCAATTGGGTTTTCTGCTCAGATGTGAGGTTGGAGTTGATGATGACCGGCAGCTTGCCGTCGTCCCTCAGGAAGGCATATTCAAGGTGGGGAGGGAACAACTTCAACTCCAACTCGGGTGGCTCTTCCAAAGAAGTGGGAATCTTGGGCATGGGGGTAAGGCTTCCACTTCCACTTCGTGGGTCACAATGCAAGCTTCCTCAACTTGTGAGGATTGTCCCTCCTTTTCCTGAGGCTCTGAGTCACCTGTACCTACCAAAAAACACTCCTCAAAGGGGTCAGTAAGATTGGCACCAGCAGACGCGAGTGCCGCAATGAAATCGGATACATCATCACAGTTTTCAGTATCATCATGGAGGAAAGATAATTTTATGCTATCATCTATTGAGAAGATAACCTATTCCTCCCCTGTCCTGAGAACCAATTTCCCCCCATGCACATCGATCAATGCCTTGGCGGTGGCCAAAAAGGATCTACCCAGAATAAGGGGGACATCCACATTATCGTCGATGTCGAGAATAACAAAATCAATGCATAAATGAGGGTCACAACCTTAATGAGTATATCCTCAACGACCTCCTTAGGATGCACTATGGATCTATCAGCCAGCTAGATATTCATCCTAGTAATTTTGGGTTCACCTAGGTCTATCTTTTAAACAATCTATACGACATCACATTAATACTAGCCCCTAGGTCCGCCAAGGACTTACCTATGCACATATTGCCAATAAAACAAGGGATAGTGAAACTCCCTGGATCTTTGCGCTTTGTGGGGAGGTGATTCTGTAGGATGGCCGAGCACTCCTCGTTCAGGGTCACAGTTATTCCTTCCAGCTTCTTCTTGGTGAGGAGGTCTTTCAAGTACTTTGTGCACTTGGGCATCTAGGTGAGGGCTTCAACAAATGGAATGCTGAGGTGCAATTGGTTTATCAACTCCATGAACTGAGCAAACTCTACCGCCATGTGATCTGTGTGGAGTTTGGAGGGGGTAAGGAATAGGTGGACTTGCTCTCTCCTTTCTCTGTTCTAATTGAGGAGTCGAGCCCACTTTATTCCCACTGGTCGCACTTGTGTCCCCTTCTTGATCGAGGGAAGTAGTGGCTTTGTTCCGCTCTTCTACCCTGGGAGATTTCTTCTGGAGGGGTACTTCTCTGGTTTCTCTCCCACCATGGAAGGTCACCACCCTCAATTCCTCTTCATATGATTTTCTCGGGGAAAGAGCTGCTTGCGAGATGGCCCCCATCCTTGTGGTCAAGGTCTTAAAGAGTTATTGGTGACTTTGCAACCCTGCCTCTATGGATGTGAACTTCTCTGTAACCTCCCCCATGAATCTTTCTATTTTTTCAAACTTCTTGGAGCTGGAACTGGCAAAGGTGGTCACAAACTCCTCCAATGCAGACATCCTGTCGGGACATGCGGGGCAGATTGAGTACAGCTACTCACAAGAGACCTCTTCATTCATCACTTGGCACTCCGCTTCTTTATAGCTTGCACTCGCACCCCAATTACATGACGTCACCGACTTCTTCTCTCGCTTCTTGTCCTCCGGAAGCGCATCAATCAAGCGGTCAAGCTTGGCTTCAACTGGAGCACTCGCCTCAGATACTCTTTTGACCACTCCTCGTCAAACCCCAATCATACCCTTTTGTCTCCATGTCCTTGAGGAACTCGATCTTCGGGTGGAGTCCTGTTCATCAAATTCCCTTCACATAAAGAGTCAATTAGATTCTTGTCCTCTTGGTGGAGACCGCCATAGAAGGTCTTGATTCGAAATTGCTCCTCGAATCCATGGTATGGGCATTGGAGGAAGTAATCAGAGTATCTCTCTCATGCATCCCTCAATGACTCATCCTCCTCTTGTTCGAAATGATTGATCTTCTTGCGCCACTCCGCCATCTTGGAGGCAAGGCAATATCGAGTCACGAACTTGTTTAACATGTCATCCCATGAGGTGATCGAGAGGGCCGATCTATTGTTTAGCCACCGAGACGCATTCTCCGCAAGATAGTAGGGGAATAGTCTTAACTTCAAAGCGTCTTCGAGAACCCCATTTATCTTCAAACTTCCCGCAAGCTCGATGAACCTTTGGACATGCTCCCTTGGAGTCTCATTGCTAAACCCATGAAACAATGCATTGTTCTGGATCATGGTGATGAGGGTGGGCATGATCTCAAAATTGTTGGTGGCCAAGGGTGGATGCCAAATAGTAGGTTGAATATCTGCCACCCGTGGAGCCATATATTATCCCATGGTCCTCGGTTGCTCCTCATCTCACGCTTGATCTCCTTGATT